CCCAATCTCATCCCTAATATACTGTCTGGTTGTTATATTGATAAAGCCGAGTTCCAGAAGGAAAGAATGAAGTTCAGCCAACTCAGGTTAGTTGTCGCTAATCTTACTTTCGACTACTAGCCTCTGTCAAAATTTTTAGTGTCTTTCCTTAGGAACTTACTTCCGTTTACAAATTGTGTAATACTTTCTTATAACAGTACATCTTGAATTTTCTACTAAAATGTCTACTAAAAATATTATAATTTGGATGACTGAAATATTCCTATCTCAATCAAATAAAACACTGGGTCCACCAAATGTACATACTTATGATATCTAAGCTATTATCTGATAGTTTAATGCACTACTAATGATTTCACTTACACACCAGCATTTTATATTTATAAAGTTAAAATAAGCTTGCACTAGAATTTTGAGAAACTCCAGGTAAAACTGTGTTCTATAAAAATAAAACTGCATTTTCTCTCCCTTGCCAAAGTGCAAATCTCATTCTTATTGTTTTCTCTTTTATGAAAAAACATCACCTGCAGAATATTTCGACATTGAAATTGTCTTTCAGCATTAATTAAACTCGTAGGTACACTGATTTCTAATACTACTTTTCAGGTTACTCACAATTAACTTCATATTCATTAGTTCTTAATGTCAAATCCTATATTTTCATGCTTCATTTTTTTCTTTTTTCCTCTTTAATGATCAAGCAGTTATTCTGCAACGTTGTTCATTAACTGTGTTTCAACTCTTTTGACTCCATGATCATCTTAGCTTTGATATCAACAGAAGGCTGACATTAGTGTTTCATCCACTGATCAGGACTGGTAGTTACTTTCATTTCCAATAATTCTTCATCTGGTCCATAAACAAACTGTCAGGTAGTTTTCTGGCAGAGGTAACAAAGGACAGCAGGGCCTGGTAGCTTGTTCAATGAAAACAAAGAAACACCAGGGAATTGGAATCCCTCCGAGTCTCTGTACATATGTTCTATGGGTGTCAGTATGCATGTTAAACCTGTAGATGTGTTGCTTGAGCAGTGCCTAGTTATTGGACAAAATCGAGCATTTTGACCCTCTTAACCTATGCACTCTGCTGATCCATGGACTAATTAAAGCTGTCTCTGCATTTTCAATACTTAAGTTAAAGTTTCCAGGTCAGTCACTTCCATTGACTAGCCAGTGGTTTTCTTGCCTTGTTATAGTAAATCCTCTTTCTGGAGCTTTCTTTTTTCTGCTATGAAAATGGATTTCTTCTCCACCTATAAAGCCTCACAACTGCTCCAGGATGCCCAAGACTTCCTCTACAGTAAGGGGCATGAATTCATTGCAAAGATGGAGAGTGAAAGATTGATGTTTACTCTTAGTGAGCCCATGAATGAATACATCTTGCTAGCTGATTTGTCCGCCTTGGCAGAGCTTACCAAGTCAGTTAACACGTTGGTACTAATTTCTCCTAGGGCTGAGCTGCCTGTAACGACTGATGGAGGTCCTGTGCTGCTGAGAGTCTGGGAAGGTTGGATCATCAGAGTTGACACTTTCTCAGCTGAAGGAACCTATCCTCTAAGTGGCCTAGCAGTAGGAAATGATGCTGTTGTTGGTTCCACCCAATGAGGTAAGACTGAAGAGCAAAGTGGCCTGGTAACTTGTTCCATTGTAGGGTGTTGCACTACCAAGAAGATGCCAGATGTTCTTGCATCTCTGACTGGACCATTACATACTGAAGCCAAAAAAGAGCTTTCCAGCACTAGGTGCATCTCAAATGACATTCAAGTTCTTGGAAGGTAGAGGTAAATGATTAAGATCAGGGAAATGGTTGAGCAGATGACCCAGATAACTTGTATAATGGTTCCAGCCATCAAAGATGGAGTTTCCACCTCAAGGATTAGCTCTGCTGGAAGATCATGTAGAGCATATGCTACCATGGCATCCAGAGCACCAAAAGAGAAATGACCATAGGTGCCCATTCCCAAAACTCTTTCAGGCTATGTAAGGTGATCTTGAACCAACCCATGTTAGAGAAGATTTTAATGCTCAAGCATCATTGTAAAGAGGTGGAAGCTGAATGGATAGGGGTGTCTAGGCTTTCAATAACTGGGAAAATGATTGGCCAACTTGAAGGGCCATCCCTCCTTTGATATACACTTGTGAAACACACTAGCTAAAACTGAGCAGAACCTGGTGATGGCCCAAGCAGACCTCAAACCACAAAAGACCACAGTGACACTGGAAGCTATGCTGGTGAGGTTAAGGTGAGTGGAGTGAAACCTCAACCACTCTGAGGTGTTTGTGCATTTTATGTGCATATTTAAATTATTCTAATTTGTATTTCTGTAAAGTGCATCTTATTTAGGGTAGCCTTAGCCTCCTGCACCCAGTGTATGTGGAATACAGGGACCAAAAATTGTTTCTTGTATATTGTGTGTATTTAATACTTGGTATATATTGACAATACTGTGGTTCTTTCACACATGTCAATGTGTAGAAGAACAAGGATTTAATTTTCTTTTGTATAAATTTCAGTTTTTCTTTTTTCTAGCTTGTAGATCTATATGTTTAATGTGGCACTGGTTTATTTCCATTCTGTCTACTCTGATTGTAATCATATACCAAAATAAACTTGGTGTGCCACTTTATTGTAAGTGAAAAAACTTTAAAGCATTATTATCATTTCTTGAGAACAAGGCAATTTTTTTGTGATGTATTTGTAGTGTATATGTGCATGTATATAAAAATTAATATTTTGATTTGTGAATATGTAGAAAATTTAGGGATCATATTGTAAACAGTATAAATACAAAAATGGTTTTGTATCTAAACATTATTATATATTTGACAACCTAATGATTGTATTTTCTTAGGTTTATTCCCATTTCATCTATTGCCAATAGAAGTAGATGAACTGGGATGTTACCTGGCACTACTCTCTCCTACACATGTGATTGCATGAAAAAGAAATGGTTATTTTTTGTATTGTGTTAGTTATTTTGATGCTTTTAATTGCTGTGAGTTGAGGTTACCCCATTTTCGTTTTGGGAATATTTTAATCTATGAATAGTGGTTTTAAATCAGTTAGAGAGTTTTGTATTTGATTTTAATACATGCATTTTTATATTAGCTTTGTTTTAAACTGCCCCTATATACAGGGGACAGCTCTGAATCCTCATTAAAGTTAAATAATGATGTTTTCATTGTCAAATGAGTTTGTTTTATTGTAATTTTCTTTTTTTTAATATGGTATTTCAGTTTTATGGTTAGTTTTATTAGACTGTCCACTCTTAAAAGTGCACATGGTAGCTCTGTTTTGTTTGTCCCCCAGTGGGAAAGTGGTAAGACTACAGATTTACAATGCTAAAATCAGGTTCATTTTCCTTCAGTAGACACAGCAGATAGCCTGAAGTGGCTTTGCTATGAGAAAACACCCACTGTTTTGTTTATTTCTTTCCTTTTGGTCTTTTAGTTGACATTTATTTATCTACTTGCGCATTGCTTTGTCAAAATTGAAGGGTTTTTAATACATGCATTGCAAAAAGGATGATTTTGCATTATATAATGTATTATCTAGTATTCTTAATGTAGTTAAAGGTTTTTTTTCTGTAATATAGATTTTGACATCGTTGCTATTAAAGAGGGATTTGTCACTTTGGGTTTTATTTTTGAATTAAAAGCTTAAAAGCAAAGTTATCTTTTAAGTTTAATGTATCTTGTTAATTTTTTTATTTGTTTATGAAATATAAAATTAGATTGTTTTATTTTACTGCAGTTAGTATAAATCTTTGATAAAGGTTTTTATCTTTTAGTTACTGCAATTCATTGTTAAAAAGTTTGAGATGTCCATGTGTATGGTGCGTGTTTTAGGAATAGTGTTTACATGCTCTTTGATCTTATTCTGAGTTTAAAGATTATTGGTTCTAAAGTTAAGTTCAATTATTAGCTTGAGGACAAACCTGAAACACAGAAGGGTGGAAAGTGCAATATTCAGGCATATTTTGTTTTTTACATGACTTAGTTATATAGGAAAATTTTAAATTTCTTTTTTAGCATAATCATGATCCACAATTATTGAGATTGCCTTGTTCTAGCTGCTTTGTTTTTTTTTTGCTCTCAGTAGTCGCTAATGTCTATTCTGCATTCCACTACATTCATTAGTTTCATAAGAGTTAACAGTGGGTGCCCTCTTTCCAGTATATCAGTTTGAAATTAGGGATGGCTTGCACAAATAGTTATTGAAACAAAACTATAGCATAACACTTGTAGTATACAAATAAATACAGATACTGTCTTACTGATCTGTTTTCTCTGCTGTTTAATAAACATCTAAATATTAATTTGTAGAGTTACCTACAGAAATTAAAAGTTGCATTATTTTAGATCATACCTTGTTGAAGATGAAATGTTACTTACAACGTTTTGTTTTACAAATTCAAATAGACTTACTTATAACATAATGAGCTCAACAAAGATGAGCATTATTGGGTGGTTTGTTAGTTTTAAAAAAAACTAGGCCACATCCCAACTCTTTTCTGTTTGTGTATGCATCTAAAAGCATTTCATTAATATTCAGTTAACAGACAACCTTTCATATACAGAAAAACATAGTTCATCACAACAATGCGAAGTTGTTAGTGGAATCACTAGAAACCTGTTCTTTAACACTTATCTATAATTTCTGATAAATCATTACAGCACCAAAATTTTCAGCTTTTTATGTAAAAATATAAAAAAATATTCAAGTTCCTGGACTTTCGGATATTACATAATACAGCTGCATTTTTTGTAATTTGTTTTCATTTTCTTAGTGCATTTGATTTATACTGATAAACTACAAATATTTTAGTGATAATCCATTAAGATATTGAAAAACAAAACATGTGAGCCATGTTTAAAAACTGATACTTGTGGCATATAATTTGAATTTGTTCCAAAAGTATAACATTACACTGAAACAATGTTTGAAATGTATCTTACATATGTTATTCTGTTAAGTTTTATTTTAATTTTCCTTTACAGATAAAATTACAGTCTTCCTTCAGCTGTTGCTAGAAGTTACTCCAACAAGCCCAATAACAAGCTGAGCTTGTTTGACTTTGATGTCATAGGATGTGTTTTATATTTCAAGAACTTGATATTGTGAGAGAGAAGACTTTACACAAGTATCAAAGCAGATAATTTCATAGCTGAGTTATTTGAATGAACATGTGATCTGTCCACACAAATGTTCAAACATATTTTCATTCTTCAATCAAATCTATAAATACACCAATTTCCAATGATCCTATCTTAGAGTTTTATAATACAGCAGTTATTTTACATGGATATGGAAGTACCAAATTAATTTACTTTTAGCAAAAAAAAATGTTGAAAGATAGTTAATTTTGCTGTTTGTGTTTTAAAATTTTTGGTCAAATTTCATAGGACCTTTGAGTAAGATAATCACTGTGTATGTATTATCCATCCACTTTTACAAAATATAATTATAATTTATTAAATAAAACAGAATTTTATTTATAAAAAAAAATAAAAAAAATTACTGACAAGAGACATTGTGTATGATAAGTGATTTAGCAACTAAAACAACACCATATGTAACCGTACCAATAATAATACTAGAAATCTAAAGCAGTGTCTTTCAAAGAATTGCAATTTGATAAAACAGCCAGCTATTATGCCTAATGGTAGGAAATCATAAATATGTCCAGCAGTGGTTTGAGTAAACAAAAAAACTTCCAGAATCTAACTTGGCCAGCCCAGACCAGAATTTTACTGAAATCTCACAACTGAAGCTGCTTTGTAAAGTGAATGGAATGTGTACCAGTAGGGTAAATAGTTTCATTAAGAGAATCCAGGTTGTGAATGACACTTAAATGGGTTTTCAGTGCAAAACAGGACTCTCCTTTATAAACTGTGCTGCCCCAAACCTTTGGTAATGTAATGTATAATCATCACAATGTATAACTGTCATAAAATACATTTAAGTAGACAGTTATTGAATGTTGCACTAAATATTATAATGTACTTGTAGTTTCAGTAACCTGATTTTCTCTAGTTTAAAAGTCCAAATGTGCTTAAACACGCTGAATATTCTCATTAATTTCCACTGCAAAATTGTATGTAATTTGCTTACTTTTTTTTTTTGTAACATAAACTAGAACTTTCATAGTTTCACTTAAAATCTTCTTGTTTCTAAGGGTAAGTAATTAAAAAAAAAACAAATTGGTAAGTAGTATGAATTTTGAAAAACGGAGAAATATTAACCAAACTGGAGATAGCTATTTTTTAATTAATTTGTTATAAACTTCATGGATCTTATCAACAAGAAATTCATTTGTAAGGCAGGTAAGTTTTGTACTTTAAGAATTGTTTATGGCTAAGATACTGATTTTCTATAAATCTTCATATTTTAATTTTGTCAGCTTCATTAGATTCTATAAGTGAATTTTACTTTTGACCAAAACTTAAAATAAAAGGATGTAAAAATTATTATTTCTGGAAAACCTATAGGGAATGTCATGTGAAAATATCAAATTATCTACTTCCAGTGAATTCATTCCCTGATCATTTACAGTGTTAATTAACACAATGTAGCAAGATAACATAAATTTAAATTCTCAACGACTCTTAATATATTTTAATGTTAGAATTGCATCATGCTTTTGCTATACATGCACAGTTATCAATAATGTTTTATTTACAAAGAGGATTTATTCATTTATACTTGTGTACACATTACTTGTCATCCTTTCTATTATGTTCTGAGTTACAGTAAATCGAAAGTTTAATTGTTTTAAATATACAAATGGTGCTTGTTAACAAGATCAATAAAAAAAAAAAAAATTAGGAAAGAAGGCTGAAGATACTATAGACATTATTTACTCTAACTACAAACCCCTATTTTGGCTCCATATTGTTACCTAGAATTACATTTGGTGAAGTCAAACTAGAGATTTGTAGTTTGAGAAAATAATGTCTACAGTATCTTCAGCCTTGTTTCCTTACTTTTTACAGTCCCTATTTACAAGTTTTTAAATTTCCAATTTTTTTATTTATCTTGTTTGTTGGCTTTTTTATGTTCAACTATGGCCAAAGGATAACTTGATAGGGTAGCTAACTTTATACATTGTAATGACAATAAATATAGCTGATATGGTTCATGATGATTTACTGCAACTATTGACTATTTGATTGCATTAGTTTGAGATGCAAAATGTTGAGCTGCAGCTGGAGATTTGTTTGAAAATATAGTGAAATTTATAGTTTCTGTGTAACTGAATTCTCTGTACATAATGCATAGCAATGGGCAATTCTATACCTAGACTAAGACACAACCCCCACTAAGTACATATAAAATTTTACCTGTATTTTACCAATTGTATAGTGTACAAAGCATTGAGTATCTACATATTAGTCATCTAATTCCTGTTACACCCTGCATTTAAGCACTTTTTAAAAGAAAGCACTTTTTAGAAAACTAACTTCAAGGGATAATGAGATCGTCATTTATGCTTGAATTATGTTTTTTAGCTTGTGTAAAATATAGAAAATACAAATCGACTTTTCAGTACCTTATTTAGTATTCTAGAAAAGATTTGGGAATACAAGCTGATTTTGTTGTAGGCTTGTAAGAGAATAATAAGAATTATGTTTTGAACAGATTTTCTTTTTCTTGTAAGTCTAACATGAGTGTTTTTTTGTACATTTTTATATATGTACAGCCTTAGCAGTCAATAATAAATATTCCAAAGTGTTGTTTGAACTGAATCTTCAAAATAGTTGATTTTTAATTTGCACTACCTGTAAGTAATTTCTGGTAATGGAAGGCATAATCAGATGAGATAAAATACCAGAAATTCTGAATAGCACTTCAGAAAGATTTTTTTTTTTTTTTATTAAACCACAATATATTAATCAAAATGCTTGTATTCTTCAAATATTTTAGATACTGAAATTATTTCGAATTGCTGCTTAGGAAAATAATACACCAAATCAGAAAATTAATGATAATTTTCAAGAAAGTCCGATTTAATTTTTTATGAATAATGTAAGATTTGGAAGTAGAAATTAAATTTCTTTCTTTTAATTCTGAGAAATTTACAAAAAAAAATTAATAACAAATCTATACAAACAAACTATGAATGAGAGAAATTGAGATTTGTTTTGTTTCTTTTTCATCACGTGTGAAAAAAAATTGGCAATACTTACTTTGAGCCTTTTTTTATTTATTCCCACATCATTTATTGAAAATAAAACTGAATGTGTTACATTAAGCAACAACTGGGTATTAACATCATAATTCCTAACAATATAAAACTTCATGCTGTTATTTATCTCTGTTTCTCCATCTTTAATATCAATTCAAAAAGTCGTATATTATCACTAAATACATGAAAAAATGTTGTTAGACATACTTGCTAATCTTTCCACAAAGTATATGATATGATGAAAATAGATATACTAATTAAGTATTAAATATTATGCCAGATGAACCAATTAACTAGAAAAATTGTATGTATTATACATAAAAAAAAAAAAATAAAATATAGTAAGTACCAAGTTTAAATAATCATTAATGTTCTAATTTAATATGGACGGTAGTTTTTGTTTTAGTAACTACAAAAAACAA